TTAAGTGATTCAAAGGAAAGCAAAATCTTCAAACATTTTTCAGTTTATATAGTGAATGTTTGAGTTTGTAAAGAAGAATACAAACACTGCTATTTTTTTTTGAACAGTCTAATCACTTTTCTTCAATTTTTTTAGAGGAACAACACAAATTTGATATATTTTTCTTCATGTTTTGATTTGGAATAGAATGTGTAGTGTTCCCAATGCATTTGTGTGTATGGAAATAAAAGCTATTAGAAAGATTTTGAGCTTTATTCACTTTTTTCAACACACTGCTATTATTTTGAACACAACTGTATGCATCAATGCATTTCCAAAGGTATGTGATAAGAACGCTAACAGCACACTGGTTGGGCTATCACTGACAGCTGCTGGTCACTGTGATCAGGAACCAGCATGTGACCTCTGTGACAACCTATCACAGCCATCTCCACCTCCTGGCATTAATACCCACTTTAGGGGCCGCCAGGGGTTATGGCTGGAAGTGCACTATTGTACAAAATGTCTTTTGTGTTGTCGCATTAACGGTACCTTAAACTAGATACTGCACACCTGAGCGTTATCATTTGGAGGGGTGTCCACATACTTTGGGCCAGAGAATGTAATTTACAGTAGAGTTCCAGCTCCCATCATAAGTTGCAAAATATGTGTACTGGTTGAACTAATCTTTTTGTGAAGGAGTTATTTTGAGAAAATGATTTGAATAAATTTAGAGATTAAGAAATATTCAGTAGGGTTTTAGAGGGAACATTGCATGGTATTACAATGGATACTGTATCATTATTAGATGTGTAATTGTAATCAAGCAGTCACACATTCTTGCGATAGAGCCTGTGATCACATTCATTAGAAATGGTCTGATAAAGCCTTTTTCAACCAGGGTGCCTTCAGATTTTCTTCAGGGGTGCCTTGGCAAAATGCCTATAAATTGCTCAGATATTGTGTACAAGGGAGGATCAAACCTGCCTTTTAATAACACAAAGCCACATGTTTTCATTGTGCACCATTACATCCTGCTAGCTGCCAATGTCCTAACAACCAATGGCATCATCGGTTGATAAGGAGGACATCGGGGACCTGCACAGCATTCTTATTTGCATCTCCACTCTTAGCACTAGGGTCACATTAGATGAGTGATAGAGAAACTGAGGGAGAAGAGGAACATTGGAATACTAGTCAGTACCTGTGGCTCGCCTGTACAAATCCTGTTCTGGTGCCCAGAGCAACGGGGTAGATGGGGGTGCTGCAGTTAAAAATCATGGGGCCCCGTCATAGAAGTCAGTTGTGCTGCAGTGGGACCAAAGGGGGATTAGTCCTAGTAATTACTAGGACTAATCCCCCTTTTGTCCCACTGCAGCACAACTGACTTCTATGATGGGACCCCATGATTTCTAACTGCAGTCCTGGCAGCATCTATAGAAAGCAGGCACCCTTCTTCCACCTTCTTGATGACTGGCCCATAACTATAATGTCAGCCTCTCTGACCAGTAGTGAGGTGTGGGAAGATGCAGGCCTGACCTGACTATATGATAGAGATGACATTTGTACAATAGTGTACCCTAGTTTTTTTGGCTTTTGCAATGTTCTGAAAGTTATGCAAACATAAACCTCTAGATGTTTATTTCAATATCTGCAAATGCATAGTTATAAAGGTCCTAGTCCCTTAACGATACTGTACAGTGGGTATAGAAAAGAATCTCCCCTCCCCTTTAAAATAATAAAAGTTTGTTACTTTGCAGCCTGAAATGAAGACAGACACTTTTTGTTTTATCCAGTTGTATTTACTCAGTGCAACTTATAACATCCAAGTGAAAGATATAACTCCAACATGTCAGAAAAAAAAAATCAAAAACAAAATCACGGAGTTGGAAAAAGGATCACCCCTTGTATCAGTATTTTTGTTTATCCCCTTTTGCTTTAATTCCAGCCTTTTGTCTGTTGGGATTTGTCTCTGCTAACTTTGCGCATCTAGACTTTGCAATATTTGCCCGCTATTCTTTGCAGGACTGCTTAAGCTCTGTTAAATCTGATGGTGACCATTTGTGGACTGCAGTCTTCAAGTCATTCCACAGATTTTCAATGGGGTTTAAGTCTGTGCTCTGACTAGGCCATGCAAGGACATTCACCTTTTTCTCCTGTCACCACTGTGCGCTTTGGCTCATTATAATGTTGGAAGGTAAACCTTCTTCCCATTGACAATTTTCTGGCAGAGGGCAGAAGAATTTTGACGGTATTTTGCCCCATCCATTTTTCCTTCTATCCTGACAAGTGCTCCAGTCCCTGCTGCAGAGAAACCCCCCATAACAAGATATCCCCCTGCTCCATGCTTTATTGTAGGAATGGTGATATTTGGATGGTGAGCTGGATTGGATTTCCTTTTGAGCTGGATTGGATATCGTTTGGTGTTGAGGCCAAATAATTCAATTTTAGTCTCATCTGACCAGAAAACCTTATTCCATGTAGCTTTAGAATCTTCAAAGGCAAAGCTCAGTCATGACTGCATGTGGCCTTTCTTGAGGAGTGACTTGTTTCTTGCAACCCTCCCATACAAGCCACATTTGTGGAGAATTTGTGATATTGTTGTCACGTGCACACAATGACCACTGGATGTCATAAATTCCTACGACTGCTTCAGAGTTTCTGTAGGCCTCTTGGTAGCCTCTCTGACCATTTTCCTCCTGGCTCTTTCATCCTGACCCAGGGAGGGTTTGTGTTGTACCAAATACCTTCCACTTCTTAATAATAGACTTCACTGTGCTTCTAAGCATTGATAAAGTCTTTTAAATGTTTTTGTATCTATCTCCTGACTTGTCTATCCACAACCTTATCCTGGAGATCTTTTGACATTTCCTTGCCACCCATAGTTTGCTTGCTTCAGTTGCACTATCAGAAACTGAAATACTCCCAGGAAAGCTCTTTTCATGTTGAGCTAATCAAAATGACCACAGCTGATCACAGTTGAAAGTCAAATTTTTGTGCCATGGAGGAGGTGATTAGCTACATCTGATTGAGTTTACAAGTCATTTTTTTGGAGGAGGGTGATCCTTTTTCCAACTCGGTGATTCTGTTTTTGAATATTTTTTGTGAAATGTTGGTATTATATCTTTTTCACTTGGATGGTATAAGTTGCAAAAGTAAATACAGCTGGATAAAACACAAAGCGTCTGTCTTAATTTCAGGCTGGATGATTCTTTTCTATACCCACTGTATATTCCATTCTTTTCTTCAACCATTAGAAAAGTTTAAAATCAATTAACCTGCGCTTGGGTAAATACACTAATCATGTAACTACAGAACATGAAATAAAAATCAGAGAAAAGCAGTTCGCATATCAGGCAATATACATAATAAAAAATAAATCAAATTGCAGCGCTAATCAAAAACATTAAGTCCAATTAATCAATATAATTCCAGTTTAAAATGTCCCAAGTGAAGTTCCCATGATCCACCATCACCAGAACACTCGAATGGTTCAGCCTCTTACTAGAAATTCTGACCGAAACACACCGGTCAATTTACGCAACTCAAATGGGGGATGAATATGTGCAGATCATGGAACTGGCAATCCTCATCAAGATAGATTTCAATCTTCCTCTCAAAAGATCTAAAAAGGTCCTGTCTTCTGAACATGCGCAGTTGCTTCAGGGAATAGACATCTTCATGGGCTACTAATTTTACCGCTACACCAGTCCCCATACTGGCAGTAGTGAGACCCCCTCCTCCACACACATGGCACTGAATGTGCGACAGTAGTGGTGTGATGTTGGCATGTGAACAGGGACAAGGACATGGAGTGCCAGATGATGGTCACCATGGACAGCAGGCGGTGTCAGTAGTCCATCTAAAAGACAGGACCTTTTTAGATCTTTTGAGAGGAAGATTGAAATCTATCTTGATGAGGATTGCCAGTTCCATGATCTGCAAATATTCATCCCCCATTTGAGTTGCCTATATTGACCGGTGTGCTTTGGTCAGAATTTCTGGTAAGAGGCTGAACCATTCAGTGTTCTGGTGATTGTGGATCGTGGCAACTTCACTTGGAACATTTTAAACTGGAATTTTTTTTAATTGATTGGACTTTGTTTTTTATGTTTTTGATTAGCGCTGCAATTTGATTTCTTTTTCATTAGAAAGGTTTGCACTACAGGGGACACCAGAGCTAATATTTGAATATAAAGCATTCCAGGTGTGTGCTGCATTTATAACAGGGCTTACTGCACATCAAGCTACAATTGATGAAGATCAGTGTTATGCTTGAAACTGCGCAGTCACGCTAATTTTTGTATGAAGATACACTTGAAATAAAGAGAAAATGTTTGCAACTTGGAGATCTCATTCTCATTTGTTTTTGGATGTTTTATATGGATGGAATAATGGGAGCCCATTGTTAATTAGATCTCCCAACAGATAAGATCTGCAACACAGCAGGAGTTACCTGTTACATATACACACACAGGGGCAGCACAGTGGCTAAATAGTTAGCACTTCCGCCTGGCAGTTCTGGGGTCATTGGTTCCAATCCCAACCACGGCACCACCTGCCTGGAGTTTGCATGTTCTCCCTGTGCCTGTGTGGGTTTCTTCCAGGTACTCTGGTTTCCTCACACACTCACACATGCTGGTAGGTTAATTGGTTCCTGTCTAAATTGGCCCTAGTATGTGTATGTATGAATGTAAGTTAAGGACCTTAGATTGTACGTCCCTTGAGGGTTAGGAACTGATGTGAATGTACATATGTAAAACGCTGAGTAAATTGACAGTGCTATATAAGTACCTGTAATAATAAAAAAAATATATATATATTTTACAAACTATGCACAAAATCAAAGTTCTGTTAACAAAATATATATGTAAGCACACTGATAGATTTATTTAAATTAGATTGATCACTTTCATGTGTAAATCTAACAATCATTATAGTTTGTGAAATATACACTATACTGTGGTTTGCTGTATGAAGGAATACTTGTGAGTTCATGATTCTTGTTTTGTGTTTTACAGAGATAGATGAGGGACCTTCATCGTACACAGCTGACATGAGGTGAGAAATCAGGCTCCTGAAGTAGGCCTGTCATTCCAGGTATTGAATGTAATCCCCTGTGGTTTCTTTTGTGCAAGTTGGGTTTACAAAGTTTTTGTGTGTGTGCAGATCCAGCGATAAAAGGGATGTCTCTAATGATTTATTAAAGTGTATAGACTGCACTGTCCAAAAAAATGTGAATCAAAATTGTTAAACCGTTTGCCACATGTGAAAATGCAAAAAATGAACACCACCAGTAAATACAAATAATGTCCTATGTATCAGTAAGTCCCATTCAAATGATAGTTGCTTGAAATACAAAAGATGAGTGAACAGGTGCTAGTGCCATTTAGTAACAGAAAAAAAACAGGGAACCACTTCCAGGTGAGCCCACATGGATTTGTGCTCACTACAAAGGATGGAGCTTCTATTACTTCTATTACTAGATAGGTCTTACTGCTCTTTTTTTGGTTGGACCCACTGTGTGTTTGTCACCAACTTGACCATTCATATGTACCAGGAATGTGATTCCTTCCCATGCAAGACACCGCCACATAATTAACAATATCAGGAAAAAGGTACATTGCACATAGCAGCCAACTTTATTAAATCCTACATAACCTAACATAGACAAATTCAAAGGCTATTCCAGTCCATACACTGAATTTCAGCATATCAATATACAGAGATTCAGTGGATGCAATTATTATAAACAAAAAAGTCTAGCGTTTGATGCATAGCAACTTTTCACTGTGTTCCCCTGCGGCCAGGCACTTACTAGGTGATAAGGACCTCTGCATAGGTAGAAGGTCTAATGCACACTCTTGAGAAAGTCTCTAATAAGGAAACACTAAGTGGAGGGGGTCAGTGACATCATCACGCTGCATCTACGTGTACTCATGCAGTCTGCAGCTTTGGAGATCTGAAATAATGGGAATAGATTGTTTGCAGAGGAGCAAGGAGGAACATTATGACACGGGGAACATCTAAAGCCCCGTACATATGATGAGAATATTGGACAAGTAACTGTCTGTTTTTTGTTTGCATGTTAGTCTCATATCAAAAGTGAAGGGGTTACTAAAGTTACGTAAATTCTTGTACGACAGAATAACATTTCTGAAGTGTAATGTATTTGTATTGTATTTTTGGACAAAAACTGTACTGACTAAACGAAAATTTGTAAGATCTGTTACAATTTTCATGCTTGTCCCTTCAAATAATTTTGGATGAAAGCTGTGTATGAACAATTAGATTATTGTACGATCGCAAAAGCGGTATTTTTCATACAATTTTCTAATCGTGTGTGCTAGGCTTTAGATCACATATGTGGGAAGTAATGCTCTCACATAGTTTGTTTGCATTTATTTAATTCACAAACACAGCAGCTTTTTGATAGTGTTTTTTTCTTTTTTGGGGATAAATTTAGAGAAGGATATGAGCACAGAATTGGGATTATTTTTATGTAAAATTGTACAATCATGTCACATTCCTCATCATTCACCTCCCTGACCTTTCTTCTGTACCTCCCAGTGAGACAGAAGACCAGGAGGAAGACGTTTTAATAAGTGAGGAAGACGTTCCATTCAAGGATGACCCCACTGATGAGACATACAGACCTCCTCAGTTAGAAAGGTATGGTATGTCCCATTCATTACTTCAGTTAAGGCTAGGTTCACAGTGAGAGCTGTGAAAATGTGAAATAGACTCCCTCAAGAGTTGATTCTCTCCGTGGATTGCTTTAAAAAAAAGTCCTGGATTGTTTCTTAGATACACAGAATATAACTGGATACTAACATTTATAGGTAAAGTTTATTCAGGGAATATCCGATTGCCTCTCGGGGGATCAGGAAGGAATTTTTTCCCCTGCAGGAACAAGTTGGATCATGCTTTGCTGGGTTTTTTGCCTTGCTCTGGATCAACTGTGGGTATAGGATTATAACTTTTTTTTTTTTTTTAATGGTTGAACTGGATGGACTTTTGTCTTTTTTCAGCCAGACTAACTATGTAACTATATGCGGCTCTGCAAGCAACAGTTTGCATGGGCACGGCAGCCCATTCATTTGAATGGACTGCCGTGCCTCTTGAAACACAGGGAAAAGGTCCCTGCAGCTTTTTAGAGATCGCAGCCCACATGGGAACTGCAAGTGCACTGCAGTTCCCAGCGTGGGATCGATTTCCAGTGTGTGTGGTGTGCCATTAGGATTGTTGACATCCATGCCCATCTAGCGTTTTTCCGTGTGGGTGGCTGTGGGAACTGGTGAGAATCCGCAGTGGGAACCACCCGCAGAGATGTTCACCTAGCCCAGGGGTAGGCAATCTGCGGCTCTCCAGCTGTTGTGGAACTACATTTCCCATGAGGCATTGCAAAACTGACAGTTACAGCTGCTGTGACTTGCACAGGCATGATGGAACTTGTAGTCCTGCAACAGCTGGAGAGCCGCAGGTTGCCTACCCCTGACCTAGCCTAAAACATATTAGAGCATCTTTCAGATGTTTATTGCTAAATTAGGTTTGGAAGTGAAGATGGATCTGAAAAAAACTTTGGTGTTCAGGACACAGGTGCTCACCAAACACTAGGGACACATTAGATCATCCTTTCTCAACCAGGATGCCCAGGCACCCTGGGGTGCCTTAAGGTTTCTTCAAGGGTGCCTTGGCAAAATGTCTAAAAATTGCCCAAAACTTGTATACAAGCCAGTGGGTGGAACAAGCCTGCCTTTTAGTTACACAAAGCCACAGGTTTCCATTGTGCATCATCACTGCCTTCTAGCCACCGGTGTCCCGACAACCAATGACATCGTCATTTGATAAGGAGGATGTCAACTGCCTGCACAGCACCCTAGTTTGACCCTCCCCTTCCATATCAATGCTGGGGTCACATTAGCTCAGTGATGGAGAAAAACTGAGGGAGAAGAGAAACATGGGAATACTAGTCAGTACCAGTGTGCAAAAGTGTATTTGCTTTGGAAGAATAAATCATCTCTAATGTTGGGTGTCATACATGTGTGGATGTTGCTGCGTTATATAAAGCTATTAGAATAGTTTTTCACATTTTAGAATGTGGTGCCTCAAGACTGTCCATAATTTTAAAGGGTGCCTCAAGACTGTCTATAATTTTAAAGGGTGCCTTAAGACTGTCCATAATTTTAGAGGGTGCCTCAGGACTGTCCGTAACTTTAAAGGGTGCCTTGACTGAAAAAATATTAAGAAACACTGCCTTAGATAAAGTCTTGAAATACAACAAAGTGACAAATGAATAGATCAATATGGTGATTCTCCATTAAATATATATATACCTGATCCTTCCAACTAAAAAGCAGTTTAATTATACCTGACCTTCCTGCTGATTTGCTCCTTTGGCACTCTGTCACTTATAACACTTTATGACACTTCTTGTCTCAGAGAACAGAAGAAGAGAAATCTCCAAAAAGTGAGGGGATATAGCACCTTTGACAGCTGTCACCAGAACAGGTGACTGCCTTAAGTGATTTTTCCTGTACCTGTATTCCGGTGACATCTGTAACATTTTAGACTACCCTGCTCTCTCTGTCTTCCTCTTTGTGATAGATAGTGGTCACTAGGGCAGAAAGAGCGAGCTAAACTTCCCATTTGGAACCTAGACAGCAATAAAAACCCCAGAGAGGTTTTAACTCCTCCCAAAACTTAAAATCGAATTCCAGGATAAACCTCCTAGCACGTATACTAGCTAACCTGTGTAAGAAAGATGTATATAGGTAGAACTTGCAGTGCCTCTCTAAGCTGAGATAAGGATCTCCCACCGGTTGCAGTGAAGGGAGCAGGCGCCTCTGCACCATTCAGGGGTTTAGAAGCATCATCGGAGAAAGGAAGAAGAACCGCTCACCGACCCAGTGCATGAATATGTGGATGAGTGTGGCCTGCTCTGTTACCATCCCCAGTGTGTGTGAGGTGACACATGTCAGAGATTCTGGCTGGAGCAGCACTAGCTGAGGTCACGTTCATCCACATATTCATGCACTGTGTCGGCAAGCGGTTACTTCTTCCTTTCTCTGAGAAAGATGGATAAATAACTATTTTCAGGCCGCTCTGGTCTGGCCACATGACTTGGCTTCTTTCAGCCAGCAGCAGCTGCAGGGGAAAGGAAGGAGTGCTGACAATGGATGGGCCAGAGAAAGCTTATGGATGACATCAGTGCTCTCAGATATTGCCAGCCATTGTTCAGTGCTCTTTCCTCTCCCTTGCAGCCGCTGCTGGCTGACATGGGATCACATGACTGGAGCATTCTGAAAATTAGATATGTATATAAATTTTTCTTACATAGTTTAATCAGCATAGGTGTTAGGAGGGGAGAGGGAACATTTTTAAGATTAGTTAGGTTTATCCCGGAATACTACTTTAACCTCTTAGCGCCGGCACCTCCCGGTCTTTTAAGAGTTTCAGAAGTCGGGAGACGGGCGGGGTTTTAGGGTCATGTGACTGCCGTGGTTCGCCGTCACGGTGGTCACATGATTGGAAAAGGTCCCGATCGAAAGGGGAGATCGGGACCTTTCAGTGAGTCGCGGACATATGTGATGGGAGCGCACAGGGCACACGCTCTCAGCACATATGTATTTTCTAATTGCATGCAAATATGCGGCCGCTCGGCATCAAAGCCCAGACGCCGAGAGGCCGCATATTTGCGTGCGCTCAGCACCAAGGGGTTAAAAACAAATTTGGTGGAGTTCTACTTTAACATCCTACTCTGGGCACAAGAAAAACGTGCCCTTTCAGGTGGACCCCCCCCCCCCCGCACTACAAAGATTAAATGCTCAATATGTACAGGGGTAGTGGTATAGGCTATAATGCTTACCTTATTCCAGCAGGCTTCCTCCATACTTGACAGCTGCACTTTGACATCATTTTATACAATGCAGGATATATACAGGTGAAACTCAAAAAATCTGAATATCGTGCAAAAGTTCATTTATTTCAGTAATGCAACTTAAAAGGTGAAACTAATATATTAAATAGACTCATTACATGCAAAGCAAGATAGTTCAATCCGTGATTTGTCATAATTGTGATGATTATGGCTTACAGCTCATGAAAACCCCAAATCCACAATCTCAGAAAATTTGAATATTGTGAAAAGATGCAATATTCTAGGCTCAAAGTGTCCCACTCTAATCAGCTAATTAAGCCATAACACCTGCAAAGGGTTCCTGAGCCTTTAAATGGTCTCTCAGTCTGGTTCAGTAGGAATCACAATCATGGGAAAGACTGCTGACCTGACAGCTGTGCAGAAAACCATCATTGACACCCTCCATAAGGAGGAAAAGCCTCAAAAGGTAATTGCAAAAGAAGTTGGATGTTCCCAAAGTGCTGTATCAAAGCACATTAATAGAAAGTTATGTGGAAGGGAAAAGTGTGGAAGAAAAAGGTGCACAAGCAGCAGGGACGACCGCAGCCTGGAGAGGATTGTCAGGAAAAGGCCATTCAAAAGTGTTGGGGACTTTCACAAGGAGTGGACTGAGGCTGGAGTCAGTGCGTCAAGAGCCACCACACACAGACGGATCCTGGACATGGGCTTCAAATGTCGTATTCCTCTTGTCAAGCCGCTCCTGAACAACAAACAACGTCAGAAGCGTCTTACCTGGGCTAAAGAAAAACAGACCTGGTCTGGTGCTCAGTGGTCCAAAGTCCTCTTTTCTGATGAGAGCAACTTTTGCATCTCATTTGGAAACCAAGGACCCAGAGTACGGAGGAAGAATGGAGAGGCACACACTGCAAGATGCTTGAAGTCCAGTGTGAAGTTTCCACAGTCTGTGTTGATTTGGGGAGCCATGTCATCTGCTGGTGTTGGTCCACTGTGCTTTATTAAGTCCAGGGTCAACGCAGCCGTCTACCAGGAGATTTTGGAGCACTTAATGCTTCCTTCCGCAGACGAGCTTTATGGGGATGCTGACTTCATTTTCCAGCAGGACTTGGCACCTGCCCACACTGCCAAAAGCACCAAAACCTGGTTCAGTGACTGTGGGATTACTGTGCTTGATTGGCCAGCAAACTCGCCTGACCTGAACCCCATAGAGAATCAATGGGGCATTGCCAAGAGAAAGATGAGAGACATGAGACCGAACAATGCAGAAGAGCTGAAGGCCGCTATTGAAGCATCCTGGTCTTCCATAACACCTCAGCAGTGCCACAGGCTGATAGCTTCCATGCCACGCCGCATTGAGGCAGTAATTGCTGCAAAAGGGGCCCAAACCAAGTACTAATACATATGCATGCTTATACTTTTCAGAGGTCTGATATTGTTCTATGTACAATCCTTGTTTTATTGATTGCATGTAATATTCTAATTTTCTGAGATTGTGGATTTGAGGTTTTCATGAGCTGTAATCCATAATTATCACAATTATGACAAATCATGGCTTGAACTATCTTGCTTTGCATGTAATCAGTCTATCTCATATATTAGTTTCATGTTTAAGTTGCATTACTGAAATAATTGAACTTTTGCACGATATTCTAATTTTTCGAGTTTCACCTGTATATTCTATTGTCTTTCTTATTTACTGTGTACTGAGAAGAGGTACAGGTTCACTTAATTTGCAACTCCCCAGAAGCACATAATCTGTTCTTTGCTCCCCCCGCCTTTCTATTCAACCATAAATTAGAGCATTCACAGGGTTGTGGATTTTCTCCCTGTGTGGCTGCACTGGTGGTCTGAGTGGCCAGTCACTATGTATGTTTAACCTACTATGTGCAGAGTGGTGACAATCTTTCTTTCCCTTTAATGAAAAAACACTAGAAACACTTGGAAAATAAAAATCTAATAAAGATTTTAGTAAACTGAAGATGCTTCTGAATAGTTGAAGGGACAGGTTCCCTTTTTGAATATTCAGTGCCAGGCATATTATAAATTGATCTCTAAAATGACAAGGCCTTTTTGGTCCTTTCCGCCCCTTTCACTGTGCTTGTTTATTTTCTCTCCTTTGCTCCTCCTCCCTTTCCTCAGTGAGGATGAAGATGATGATGAGGATATCTTTAGCGAGGAAGAAATTTATAAAGATGACCCCAGAGACAAGAGTTACAGACCCCAGATGAACAGGTACAGTGCTCATGTGTTCGCCTTTTACATGAAGGGAACTTTGTCCTGGCTTCAGTTGTAGTGACACATGGATCAAATATGTAGATTGGCATTGTAGGCTTTCTTGGCTGCTTGTTCCATGTCAAGGACTCACTAGGTATTGAAGCCAGGATGCTGCATGTTCATATACAAGTTGACATTGGCAGCTGGCATATTATCCTGACAGGTTCTCTTTATAGAGTTTCTCCAGAAAGCGTAAAGGTACGCTTTCCACTTTCTGTGGTCACATAGCGTTGCTGAACACCTTTTAGACGTCACAGCCCCCCATTGGAAATCCATTGGTTGGCAATATGGAAAAAAGTGTCAGAAGGGATCAGTTCAGCCTAGGAACTCCAACTAAATGTAATGGCGTCTCTGGAACATAGTAAAAAATCTTATTGATCTTAAGAACATAAAAGAAAACGTATGGATCATTGGTGCTGGTAGACGTAGGGATTCTGGGCAGGACATTCTGGCTGATTGACAGACCGGGATGGAGGAAGCAGAAAACATTTCCACAATTTTAATCAAGCGGTAACCTCTAATGGGACAGGTGTTCAGTGATATGCAGCCCTCTGATTAATTAAACTATTTTGGTAGACAAACACAGACTGTTGTTGTTCACCTCCATCTGAAAATACTAATTGTCCTGCTACTATTCTAATCCCCTGAGGGGGGGGCAATGAAATAAGCAGCTGAAATAATAAGCATTCTTAATTAAATTGGAACTTTACCCATACAAAATGTTCTTTAGCATTGAACATACATTCCACATTAATAATGATGCTTACAAAATGAGCGTGTGCTTTAAATTGCCTCCAGCATTGCTCCTATTTCTTCTTGCTGGAGGATGACATTTTTCTGCAGCCCAGAGCCCCAGAACAGCAGTGAATCTTTAGGCTGTTAGTAAATCAGTCTCTTCAATTTCAGCACAGTGCTTAAAAGTAGAGGGCAACTGAGCATGTGCAGAGCAGGGTAAGACAGTCTATTACTGGATCTAGCAGGACTTAGTGTTACTAAACCCTGGATCTTGCATTCACTACAACTGGTCTCTTATAGTACACAGAACATGGAAATGCAATTATTTTAATAAATAGAAACTGCTAAATACCTTTACTCATCAGCAGTTAGAGCAGTCTTGTGACTTCTATCAGTGTCCAGCAGAGCACTGGTTAAAGCTTGTAGAAGGAGTTTTCTTTCTGCTGTAGGAGGATGCAGAACCCCTGACCGCTGTCTGGACAGTGCTGATTGGCCCTGTGCTGATCACATGCACTCTCCCAAGAAAAAAAAAAAAAAATCTCTAGCAATACACACCCAACTGAGCATGTGCAGAGTGTCTCCACACAATATGTCTTATCAGGAGATAAAAGGGGGGGCACTGGAAGAAAGGGAGGATCAGAGTCAGGATCAAACCACCTTTTTATTCAATGCAGAGGATTAACCCCTTAGGTTCCACAGAGAGTATAACAAGCATGCTTTACTGCATATACAGCCTGATTTTTACTGGGTTTAGTAACACTTCTATTCTACACTTCAATTCTATGACTAAAGTTATTTTGTAACTTCTTTTAACAGACTAAACTGTCCAAAGTAGCAGTTAGAGGGTTGATCCAAACCATTTAAAGTGGAGCTAAATGTATCAATTTAATTGTTTTCCAAAACCATTACATTCTATGCATGCCATGAACTGATAACTGTCATAACAACTTTTTTTTTTCTCACTGAACTGTCATGCTATTAAAGAATTGGTATAAGAACTGATCACATATGTAGCACCATGGCAACTGCAGATCAACAGTAGCAAGATGATTCCTTCCATGGATGTAAAGAATGGGAGCATTTAATTCCCCTTTAACACTGTCAGGGGTGCTTACAATGCCAGTCTACATAAATATTGCTTAAATACAAAAGGCATGTGTATTCTTGTTCTCTTTTCCTTTTTTCCTGTAGTAATCCAGCATTATTTATTTATTTATTTATTTCAGGTACTTATATAGCGCCGTCAATTTACACAGCGCTTTACATATATATATTGTACATTCACATCAGTCCCTAACCCTCAAGGGGTGTACAATCTAAGGTCCCTAACTCACATTCATACATACACATATTAGGGCCAATTTAGACAGGAGCCAATTAACCTACCAGCATGTCTTTGGATTGTGGGAGGAAACCGGAGTACCCGGAGGAAACCCACACAGGCACAGGGAGAACATGTAAACTCCAGGCAGGTGGTGCCATGGTCGGGATTTGAACCAGCAACCCTAGTACTGCCAGGCGGAAGTGCTAACCATTTAGCCACTGTGCTGAATTAAACAACTACTAAACCTTGCCTTTACACAACAGCTGCCTTTAATAAAGACTAGTCACTCTTGCTCTCTCCATACACAGAGTGACTGGTCTGTAGATGGTAGGCCTGCTGGGTCCTTTGTTAACGCTGCTCTCTGCACAGACTATGTGCAGAGCAATGTTGACGTCACTACTGTTATTAACAAGGAAATATCTGGGCTTGCAGAGGCATTGCAAACATTTGTAGACATTGAAGAAAATATTTAATTGAAAGCTTTCCTGTCCCAAGTTCCTCATTATGTGTTAAGGTTCAGTTTGGTTCTAAAAAAATATTTTTTAACTGTTGGGGTCAGACTAGTGACTAGAGGTACGGCAGAGTTTAGGAACATTTTGAGACAGACTTTACCATTTTTTTCTTTTTTGGTGCTGAATTATCAGCGTCGTACTCCCAGTGCCAAAAACGAATGCACAGGACTGAATGAATTGTGTCAGTGATTGCACCAGAACCTTTCAAAAGTGACCTGAAGCAGAAAAGTTACAGATGATTGTATACCGTGCATTCTCTTTGGCTCCTTTGTTTCTTTCTGGCTCTCCTAGTAACATTTTACGTATTCTCTTATAGGTCATCTGGAGGAACTAGGCGCAGAGGTCCACGCAGCAGGAAAGAGTCGGGTACTGTGGAAGTGAAGATGGAAGTGAAGGAGGAGAATCCAGCTCCAGGCCCAGAAGCACCTAGAAAGTGAGTGTTTCAAAGTCCACCTAAACATGGGTAGAACATGTAACATGTTTCAAAGATGAACGTGTCCTTTAACCACCTGCCGACCGCAGATATCCAAATGACGGCTACACTGCGGCCGGCCAGTTCTGGGAGGGCGTCATATGACGTCCTCCCAGAATGCGCTCTCCTGCACTGCCCCGGCGATCTCCGTGATCGCTGTGTCCTACGGACACAGCTGATCACGTGATGTGGTAAAAGGCCAATCACAGCGGTCTTTTACCTATGTGACCAATGACACGCTGATCACCGGGAAATGCAATTGCCGGTTCTCGGCTGCACTTTCCTCACGCTGTGAAAGCGTGAGGAAAGTGCTGCCGAGAACCGGCAGTTGTCAGAGCAGGGATCGGCACCGATCATCAGGGCACTGATCAGTGCCCTGATGATCGGTGCCCAGCAGTGCCACCCACCAGTTCCGCCCACCTGTGCCCAGCAGTGCGCCCACCTGTGCCCAGCAGTGCACCCACCTGTGCCACACACCTGTGCTCAGAAGTGCCACCTACCTGTGCCCAGCAGTGCCACCCACCAGTGCCTATCAGTGCAGCCCAGCAGTGCTGCCAGTGAGTTCCCAGCGGTTGTGCCAGTCAATGCCTGTCAGTGCCCAGCAGTGATGCCAGTCAGTGCCACCTATCAGTGCTGTCTATCAGTGCCACCTATCAATGCCGCCTATCCGTGAAACCTCATTAGTGCTGACTATCCGTGCCGCCTATCCGTGCCACCTCATTAGTGCTGCCTATCGGTGCCCATCAGTGCCGCCTATTAGTGCCCATCAGTGGTGCCTCCAGGGAGGTTAAAATGCTTTTCTTGATGTTAAGACTTTAATTATGTTTATCTGCTTCCTGAAGTCTCTTTAAATTTGTAATTCTGCTTATTTTCTTTTTCCTGCATGCCTTCTTACAGGAGAGGCCGCAAGCGCAAGGATGACAAAACTCCAAAACTCCCAAAGAGGCGGTGAGTAAATGCTTGCATGAGAAAATGAACTGCAGTTCTGCTGTGCTTTGGTAGATACACTTGTGCTTCCTCCAGGGCTCCACAAACTTGTGACTGGTTTGAAACAGTCAAAGGCACAGAAAAATGTTTCAGCTGACCTTACTTCTAAAAAGCATGCAAGAAAATACCAGGTAGAGAAAAAGACAGCACACTCTTAGTGTAGACGGTTAAAATCGGGCAGATGTAATGGTAAAATTGCACTCACATAGGTAGGTAACAGGTAGGCATTGCAAGTAAGTAATAGGGGTCCAGTGGGAGCATCAGGTCCTTTGGCCACGCTGTTGGTGTTTTCCCACCACTCTGGTGTTGTCCAGGGCTCGGGGGGTATCAGAGGGGCGCAGGGAGGCTCACAGAGATGTCACCGCATGGACTGGGTTTTCAAGATGGCGCGCGTTCAGCGCATGCTCGCTCCTTTGTCAGGCCAACGAAAGAGTGAGCATGCTCCTACTGGACCTCCATTACTTGACATGCCTAACTGTTACCTACCTATGTGAGTGCAATTTTACCATTCAATCTGCCTGATTTTAACAGTCTACACTTAGAGTGGCGCTGCGGTCTCTCTTCTCTACCTGCATTAGGAGTATCTACAAGCTCTTACAGCCGACTGCCTCCTTGGACAAGTCCATACTACTATAAGCCCACCACTACAGATGGACTTGGACACCACCTCCACATGGACCTTCTACTAACCCCCATTGCTGATGGTCCATCCCCAAACGCACACAGGGTAGATGCGTCTTAGCGCTCCCTCCCCCCACTCACTTCTTCAAGAAAATACCACACCATCACAATTAATAATTTACACAACCTGTAGTGTGAATAGAAGGGAACTTGTGGGAATTTTAGGGACAATGGGGGGATTTACTAAAACTGGTGCACTCAGAATCTAGTGCAGTTGTGCATGGTAGTCAGTCAGCTTCTAACCTCAGTGTGTTCAGTTAAGCTTTGGCAATGAAATTTGCAAAATCTGTTGCAGCTCTGCATAGAAACCAATGCGCTTCCAAATTTCATTGCCAAAGCTTAACTGAACACACCAGTAGTATATTTTTTGTTTTTTCTGTCTGCAGCTAGCTTTCTTGTAACAGCCATCCGAGCGGATAATTAACCGTTGTATTGCTTACCATAGAGCTCATGGAGGACTGAAAGGTCTCCTATGAGCTGTATGATACAGGAAACCAGAAAAGGCAAGTACTATTGTCACTTCCAGTTTCCCCTGAAGTAATCATCATTTTTAAATCTTAAGAGCATTTGATCACACCGATCTTGGTGTGATCAGAAACTTTTATGGCAGAGGTCCATAAAGAGTACCTGTCGCTGCCTATTGCTGTTTTAATTCCTTGTGAGAGCAATAAAAGTGATGAAAAAATAAAACTAAAGAAACAGTGTAAAAAATAAATAATATAATAATAAAAAATTGAAAGTGCCCCTGCCCCACCACACTCATGTGCAAAAGCAAACACATGTTGGTCCCATGCGCATATGTAAACGGCAGCCGCACCACACATGTGAGGTATTGCTGTGAGCGTCAGACAGCACCAGACCTCCTCTATAACTCCAAACTGGTAACTTGTAAAGGCTTATAAAGTGATGCTTATGGAGATTTTTAAATACCATATTTGGGCACCATTTCACAAGCGTGCGCAACTTCACTGCGTGATATGTTTGGTATCTGTTTACTCGGCATAACACCATTCTTTTATATTTTACAAAAATTGCATATTATATTGTGTTTGTATGCATTCAAATTCATGAAAGTGTATTTTTTTTCTCAAAAAATTACGTTTGAAAAACCACTGCGCAAATATCATGTGACATAAAAAAATTTTCTAGCAAAAATACTGTTTAAATGTAAACCGAAAGTGTCAGAAAAGGCTGGGTCTTTAAGTGGGTATACAATGCCGCCTACAGAAGAACTGAAAAAACAAACAAACAAAAAAAAAACCTGCCTAAGGTAACCCCTCCTACTACCTGCATGCCTCATTTTTTTGTTAGTGTCCTAGGAGGATGGACTTTTCTTCAGCTCTGATGGGAGAAGTCTAACCTAATTTTGCTAGTATAATTTTTTTTCTGTTCAAGATTTTTTTTTCAGTCAAGTCCTTATATTACTGCTAGAACTGTTTTCCTCATTGCAGCTGTCTGGTTCCTCCATCCTTAGCCTAGTTTTTGGAATGTCACTCTTGGATCCCAAACAACTGGACGTTTCGGGACTAGCCTGGTAATGACCCTTGGGCAGTGGGTTCTATGGAAGGAGCTTTCCAGACCTCATTCTGGTAACAAGTTAGCCACAGAGCACTTTATAGGTTCAGAGCCATTGGCATTGCCATAGCGCTTGCCCTGTCTCTGAAGACTTACTCTGTGAGTAGGCCATTTGGGCCAATCACCTGGAACTACCTGGGAATTGGAAACACCCTTTGATACTTTGCAAACGCATTCTGAACTTTCTCCCATTCGGAAAGGCATTTGGCAAACAGTGGTCTACCAAAGCTTTGGATCCCTCAATGGGCGACCTGACCAACTGACTGGCCAGCTGGGTCACACGTGTGCTTTCTGGAGATCTGCTCTGAGTTTTCCCTCCTAGAACCACCTCCTGCCCCATCCCCTTATCTTCACGCTGCCTGCTTTCACCCTGCTTGGTGATGGGCAGGCTATTCATACAAGTAAGTCTACAATTGGTTGCCTTCATTTTCTATAGCTTCCTTTCTGCATGTGATGCTGTGGAGAGACAGAACAGTTGGAACATAGCTCAATCTGCGTCTTTCAGTGTGTCAGGTGCCTCCTGCTCCAGCCCCCTTATTCATAAGGCCAGCTGCAACCACAGCTACTGGGCAGTGCTTACAAGTCGCTTTAACTGTGCTCATTTTATGTTGGTGGGATCTGCACTAGTGGCATCAAAGCTTCTCTTTCTTTGCTACATCAGAGCTGAAAATGAATGCAAAAGTGCACATACTTACTGTCCCTCAGTAGCACTCCTGCTGGGGAGCTGCATGCATTAATACCACCTTTACTGTACACAAACGCATTTGGGGGAAATGGCTACATGGCTGTATTTTTGCTCCCCATAGGAACAGCCAGCACAAACAGAAATAAAATGCTGTTTTTTGTTTTTTTTTTTACATGCACTTGGTTCTCTGTGGTGTTTGACAATGATTTTCAATTTGTGGTGATACTTCTTTAAAGTAGTTATAATCGCTTAGCATTTTTTAACCTTAATGCATTCACAGCATTAAATAGACTGCAGTACATTTACAACCCTGTCCCCCCAAAAAATACTTAACTTGTCAATGTTGTTGGTTCCAGCACAAGCTGCATTGTTCTCTGAACTTCTGGGTTGAAGAGGAAACAATGAGAGTAGGTGAAACGATTTGGCTCCTGCGGCTGTCTAGGAGAAGGGAGCTAAGCATGGCTTGCTGGGCTCTTTGTGTTTGAATGGATGCATACAGCCCCTGCAGGGTGTGCACACATGGTTTCTCCTTAGCAGCCAGCTAGCTAAAGGAGATACCTGCAAACAAGAAGGGTTGGGCTGCAGTACGGGGACTGGATGAGGGGAAAAAAGGAGAATTTTAAAGGAAGTAGACTATACATATTATTATGTAAGGCTGGATTTCTATAACTAAAATAAAAAAAAATAGGGTTAATTATTAAACTACTTTTGTTTTTTTCTAGCAATTTCTTTTTATTCAGTCAGGATTCTGGCTTGCCACATAACGGTTTAATGCTTGCATAGGGGGTCGAGCAAAGATGTAATTCTGCTGGGTGGAATGTCACTCGCCCATTGCACGCTCTCTGTCCCACCAGACAGTATGGGGTTTATTTACTAAAGCTGGAGAGTCCAAAATCAGACTCCCTTCTGCATAGAAACCAATCAGCTTCCAGGTTTCATTGCCAAAGCTTCATTAAACAAGCTGAGGTTAGAAGCTGATTGGTTTCTATGCAGAAGGGAGTCTGATTTTGGACTCTCCAGCTTTAGTAAATAAACCCCTATGTGTCACGTACCTGATAGGAGACTGAATTGATGAGGTCGGCCTCACTTGTGTCACTAGCCCTGACCCCGCTGAGGTTGGAACAGAGGGAGTCTAGGCACCAGGGGGACAAGAGCACCTGAGGTGGTTGCTTGTGGCTCTTGCAGGTGATGGCCTGAGAAGACAGTGTATCCTCTGATTTGAGTATTGTAATAGCAGACAGAGCAGGTTCTGGATAATGCCTGATGTGCAGCAGAGCAGGTAGGTAGCCAGGACACAGGACAGGAGCAGGGTCAAAGGAAGCCAAGGTCATCAGTCGGGCAGCAAGGTACAGAATCAGTAGGAGAAGCCAAAGTCAGGAGCAGAGCCGAAGTCAGGAACCAGGAGCAGGAGAGCAATCAGAGTCGGGTCAGGAACAAGCCGGGTCAGCACCAAAGGAATCACACAGGAACAGCAGGACACAGGGGAAAGCTGAAGACCAGTCAGCAGTGAATCATCATTGAGGTGCTCCTTAAATAGCCCAGCGCCGACAGGCACGCCTGGGTCCTAGTGCCCACCTGCCTGTATGCCTTGTCGGGATCCTGCGCCTGTGCAGATTCATGTGCTGCAGCGATCTTCTTTTTCCCTGACATTGCCCCCCCCTTATGGGCAGCCTCCGGATGCCCACTAGGGCTCGTTTCTCAGGATGACGATGGAGGTAGGCTTGAACTCTCCGTGGGGTATGGACATTAGTGGACGGTTCCCAGGAGTTATCCTTTGGTCCGTAACCCTTCCATTTGATGAGGAACTGGGTCTGTCCGCCCCTTTTCCTACAGCTCAGAATAGCCTCAACCTCATACTCTTCGTTCCCTTCGACCAACACTGGCGCAGGCGACTCCGGATTCCGGTTGGGAAACCCACTTGGGATGCGTGGTTTCAACAAGGAGCAATGGAATACTGGGTGAATCCTCACATTTTTTGGTAATTCAAGTTCAAACGCTACAGGGTTCACCTTTCTCTTGA